TGAAGAGCTCTCTGCCTGAAGAGAGTAGCCCACGGCGAAGCTGAACTGAATCAACACAGTCACAACCTCTGTTCGGCAAAGGGTGCTGTTTCCGCCCCTCTAAAATGCTCGTGACCCTCACTTACATCTTCTCCTGTGCTCACTGCTCCTGCCAGGGAGCCTTCTTTTGTTCCAGGCAGATTCTCCCAGCTAAAGGTTCACTGTAGCGTAGGCACTGCTCTAAATTTTGTGAATCAGGGTTCTCAAACATGGTGTTAAGGATGCGTATCATATCCATGACTTAGGAGGATCATTCCTTGACAGATCAGTGATATGGCTAAAATAAAGCTTAGAAAAAACATTATTTGGATCGCAAAACTAGAACTGAAGATTTATGTATTTGGTAAAGACTTATCTATAATTTCCTCTGGATTAAAGTTATACATAGTTGTGTTATCTATTATGGAAAAATATAGCAATAAGGGAAAACAAGGCCAAAAGCCAGCAAAGAGTAGAATTAGATTAATAAGTTCTAGTCACAGATAATTTTACTTACTCGTACTGCTCCATTCTTCAAGAGCAGCATCCAAGGGGGAACAGTTCAAAAGCAAGGTTCTAGGCAAACTAGTTTCTTCTAGAGCCCAAGAAAGAAGAGATTTGATCTCATATTCAAGGTAGTATAAAAGAATCATTTAAAAAAACTGAAAGCATTTCCTAATCAGTAACAGATCTCTTTCCAATGCAAATAGAACTAAAAAATTCTTGGGGAACATTAAGCACTCCAGGAGCAGACCCTTTCATGAACATGGGTGTTCTCTCCTGGGTCTTCATTCTCCTTTGCATGCAGATAAGTTACAAAAGCCATGTGATGTCAATATGGCAGAGTTCCTATTATTTTGACAACCACATAAATAATCTGAAAATAGAACCAAATTAGAGGAAAAGTTCTGTAGGCTATTTCTGAAACAATCTACCCATCTGCCCCAGTGTTTTCCCATGTGTGAAGTACAAGTAGTTTACGATGCCTTACCCTGGTTCACTCGAGTCTGGGAATTATCAGTCAGCTGAGTTTTGTTCCTAGGAGCAAAGGTGCCTAGCACTAGGGAATCTTTAGCTCTCTGAAATTTCACTGATCCGAGCTGGAGAGGGAGGTGGGGACTAAAGTAAAGCTATTTTTAACGATTGCTAGATCTAACACATAAAAAGGCCACTTGTGAAACATTTTGGGAGTAGGACAGAGTTATTGCTTGGAAATATCACGCATCTTCGAACAATAAGATCTGTTAATAAAATCTAATCCACTTACACATCCAAAATCTAACTTGGGAGCTGCTCCAGGCACCATCTAATTAACTGAAGCAGACAGAAAGAAAATCCTCAGAAATTGTCATTGTTTAAATACACTCTATTTTATTTTGTCTTAAAATAGTTTAACCTTTATGCTACAGACTTATTTCAAAAAACAGAAAATCTTATCTTGCACCAAAAAATATATATATAACACTCTGTTTTATTATTTTTTCTCCAAAGACCATTAAATACCAAATGGAAACAATAACTAAATAATGAATGCAAAGAAGAACCAAATTTCATTTTAAAAACTAGAGTTGCACATTTCAAAACATTAATTCTAAGCAATGATTTGTCGTCACTGCATCAAGTCCATGCTCACACTCCAGCAACAGCAGTTCTGTTAACCACCAAGTGCATTGGTTCCTAGCCATACAATGGCTAACATTTCATTTTCACGGTAAGAAGAGCAAAAGGCATCAATGACCTCTGTACTCTTTAAAAAACAAAACAAACAACAACAAAAAATATTTCCTAGTAATCCAGTGATTTTTTTTTTTAAGATCACTACCCTTTAAAGTTTGTTAAAAGAATAAGAAGTACGTAGTGTTTTAAATAAAATGAAAAAAAAAACAGCATTGGACTAAAATACGTGATTATTTTAAACAAACAGTGCACAATCTGAGGAAGTTTGGTTAGGGCGCAATCATTTTATATATACATGGAAGTCACATCATACACATACTGGAAAACAAGGATTAGGGGCTCTTTGTTTTTTAAAAAAAGTTTGAACTAAAAGACAAAATTGTGTCCCTAGCTTTTCCAAAAACCTCGTGACACAGTATAAAAAGCAGGCAACAAACTCATTTTTAAGTTACCTATGATGCTAATCTGCTAAAAGTAACAACTGACTAAATTAGCAAATCAGACAATTCATATTCACAATTGATAATAATAAATGCAGAGTCTGTGGGATGCTCAATGCAAAGAATAATGGAGTCCATTCAGTCTGGCCCCTTTCATCAAAATGAAAAGATGATACTGGGGAGCAGCAATCACTTGCTATAGGGTGCAGTTGTGATGATGCTAGGTTACTGCTCTCTGGTTTCACGTGGAGTCTGTGGGGAGGACAGATGGACTTAACCAAATTAGTGCCAGAAACTAATCTGTGACCCAAGTGCACCATTTTAGCAGAGATATTACTTTGAACAGGCATTGTCCCGCAAGCATAATTAGACATTTGCTACCAAATACAAAACTTTAGTTTAAAAAAAAAAAAATCCCTTTAAAAGAAATTTCCAATGTCACAGGAATTGTTTACCACAGTATTTTATCATTAATATCTTGCCAGAAACAACACCCCCACTCTTCTGGATCTAGCAATGAAAGAAGAATTGAAACACAGTCTCTAGTTAGTTGGTTAGTAGTTAACAGGCCGGAAAGCCCCAACCTCCAAGAGGAGAGCATGACTGTCTCTATTGTCCCTTCCCTTCCCCTTTCTGCCTCTTAATTTCTCTATCTCTGTTTTGGTGCATCGAGTTTGGAAATCGGGGTGCTAAAACAGGGACAGGTAAGGGCAAAGTGCAACCTGATGTAAATAAAAGGCCAGAACAGAGCAAGGTTACAACTGCACTCTCTGTTCCCAATCCACAGTGCACACAGCACCGCAGAAGAATTCTCTTTAGAGAATGACTATCAGGGGCTAAAGAAAGTAAGTCACAAGAAATCACCTGCCATGTGAAACTGGACAAAACATACTGTTAACATAAGAATAGGTAATGCAAAAACATTCTTTAAAATGGGGCTCTGCCCTGATACCGGGAGGGAGAAGAAAAGCTGCAAAAACTTCAAGTCATAAAATTCACTCTATGCTTTTCCCCATGATTTTCCTGGAAAACACAGACCAGAAATTATACATGTCTGCTTTGTCTAACATTTTAATTCAAGTCAAAAACAACGTGTAACAGTAAAATTCAATAAATTAATCCTAGAGTAAAACGTGACGGTCCAAGGAAACACCAGTAGTGAATCTGCAGAAGGTCCTACGTTGCTCTGGCCTCTGGGTCTTTGGTTTTTGTCTAGAATTGTGACCATGTGAGAGACTTGACACATGAGGAACTAAAATTTAAGGTTCATGATCTTTTAAAAGCCTAATCTAGTAAAAGCAGAAAGACAGAAAAAAAGCTGATAAAGAACAGAGGCCAGATCAAATGAGATGTTAGTCAGAGAAGATCAGAGAACACATGCTTCAATACACTCCCATGGAAGAAGAGGTAATATGGAAGAACTAAAGCATCAGGAAGAAGGGAAGAGGAATAAAGAAGTCTTTACAAAAACTAGAAGAAAAGGCCAGGCAGGCAGAGCCAGGCAGACGCTGATGCATGCGCACGCAGGGGTGTCCGCTCATCTCAGCAGAGCCACAGCACCCACCCAGCACAGTGCCTTATACACAACAGGCACTTGGTAAATGTGTGTCCACTGAATGAAAAGTGAAAATGATGTTCTCATGCTCTTATGCTAAGGAAGAGCGACCAAGGCATTTGGGGAGGGAGGCAAAGGGCTATATCAACATTGCATGGTAAAAAAGGACACAAAACAAACAAAAAAAGCAAACAAAAAAGCTGGTAAAACAAAAGGTGAGGTCTTCTAAGCCGAAATATTAACTTCACTCCTCCCTGTGCACAGTACATAGTGTTCTAACTCTAGGTATTGCTTATAAAATAATTCACTAGTTAGCTACAACATGTTACAGGAAAAAAGGTAGTAACTAATGCCACGAAATTCCAACACTGGCATTTCCTGAATTCCCTGAAGCTCCTACTACCCTTTGCTATTCCTTGCAGGTACTATAGAACCTACAGAGCCAACAATGTGCTTTGCATCTGGTTTCTTATGGTATTTTGATGTTTCCACTTTTAGAAGGTAGAGGAGAAAAATACCCAAATATAGCATCAGGTCAACTCAGCTCAAGTGTTAAACAACTGTTGTACCATCCTTTATGGAGACCAGCTATGAAAGAAGGCACTCTTCTCTTAGATTTCCAAGTGTCTATAAATTACTCAAATGTTCATATTCTACCCAAGTAACAGATTTCCCTGTTCTCCCCCATTATTTGAATTAACTTGGGAAAAAGTTAAGGGAGCAAAATTATCCTACTGATCTCTAAATACTCTCTTCAGATGCCCAGAAAACCTCACTGTGGGTATCTATCCGAAATGCCTCTGCCCCAAAAGGAAACATTTTCCAAATAGTTATGAATTATTGCAACAAGGAGACCAACTAAGTCACCTTACCAGTATTTATAAACACAAAGTTATTTGTGTTGTGGGAAGTCAGCCAGGAGCAAAGTCAGGAAGGAAGGCAGAAGACTTGAGCTAACAGAAAAAAAGTAATACTTCTGTCTTCTATTCTTGAGGACAGGTTTCAAATGCACATGCCCTACTAGGTGCCAATAAGGACCTGACTAATATGTGTGCAAATGCCCTAAGGTGGGAGTGCCAAAAGGTGGGCTGACAGTGGTCAAGTCTAGATAGTAATTTTATTACACAGAAAAATAAATACAAGATTCAAGAACTGAAATTCATTTTACCTGGTAATTAAAATATTATTCTAAAAGGAAGGCAGAATTTCCTTAAGATTAAAAGTCACCAAGTAAAATGAAGCTGTCTAATAAAATTCATCATTCTCATATTCCTACTGAGGGAAAAAGAAATTCTTTTCTCTGTGATAAGTTATTTTTCTAAGTGACTTCTTTTAATTAAAAAAAAGAGAGAAAAAAGGAGGGGGGGCAATTTTCCATGAGTTTCAATTATACAAATGCCACAAACAGCTTCTGAGGCTGCAGCTATGACAATGAACTTCCATGTCACAAGGAGGAGAAGGAAGTGGAAGGGAACAGTGCAGAGGAAACACAGTGACATTGTATTACAGTAGGTATTTACGTCTGCTATCCTCATCCAAGGTAAGGTCAACCACCTCTGCAGGTGAAGCCCAAGTCTGCTGGGGAGTCACAGCAGTCCATGACTGTGTTTGCCGGGTGCTCACGTACTGCGGGCCTGAGCCGTGCTTCCATGAAGAAACACTCTGAATCACACCTCCTCTAGGATGGACACACCTGCAGTGGAGATGAAAAGCAAAAGCAGAGTTAATCCTACCACAAGAAAAAACAGATGACAAAGTAAGTTGCAGTTACACTGGCGCTGTTACTACGTGGGCTCATGAAATCCACAACCAACATCCTTCCCTTTTTCCTCCTCCCTCCAATTCTGCATGTCTGTCTGCCCACCCTCCTCACCCTAGTTTAGCTTAAAAAAGGCCAAGAGTCTTGCCTCGGTCAGATCCCCTAAATTATGCCTTCATCAGTTATTGACAATAAGATGGGGTGTGTCTGTCTGAACTCATCTAAACCCGAGATCTTCAGACAGGGCAGCATATAAATCCAGATCAAATCAAGATGCCAAACAATCTTAGTCTGAACAAATAAAACAGTAAGATAAACGTGAAATTTGTTTAAAAGTAAGTTCTGTGCCATATGTGATGATAACAGGTTTGAAGGCAGTAATAGCAATATCATTTACATATTAGATTTGTAAAAGTCTGTAAGTACGAGGTCATGCATAAAGGATCAACTTCCCTCATCTTGAAGATCACAATAGAAACATTTGGCTCCTTCACCGGAAACACTTACTCTGTAGTTCAGTGAAAGTAGCAAAGCTGAAGCATTCAGTTTAGACTCTTCAAGAGTCCTATCAGGGACAGAACTGCCTTGCTGACAAATCTCACCAAGAGTCCATTGAAAGATAATTGTTTCAGAAACAATGATGTACTGAAACCACATTCCAGTCAAGTAATACAACTGTGAGTCTCCAGGGTTTCTCTGTTTACTAAAAATGGAGCTACCATATGACCCAGCAATTCTACTCTTAGGGATCTACCCAAATGACACAAAAATACTGATTCAAAAGAATACCCGTGCCCCCATGTTTATTACAGCACTATTTATAATAGGGCACACCTGGAAACAACCCAAATGCCCAAAAACAGATGACTGGATCAAGAAGATGTGGTATAGATACACAATGAAATACTACTTCAGCAATCAAAAAAGATAAACTAATGTCATTTGCAACGACATGGACGGAGCTAGAAGGAATTATGCTCAATGAAGTAAGTCAGAAGGAAAAGAAAAATATCAGATGATTTCACTTGTAAGAGGAATACAAGGGAACCAAATAAGACATCAGGGGGAAAAATATAACAATACAAAATACAACACAACAAAACAAAACAAAAACAAACAGACAATTATAAACCAGAGACATCCTGCAGGGGAGGAGGAGAGAGGGGAATTGGAAGGAGGGAGGGAGCACTACAGGGGACTGTGGTGATGGTGCACGGGTAAAGTGGTGGAGAAAATTCTATGGGGACTACACCTGGGGCCGTGGGGAAGCAAATGTTGTTTAAAAATGATGTAAACTATATAAAAATTAATTAATTTTAAAAAAAGAACAACCAGCTGTGAGTCTCCAGGATGGACCACTAAGTTGTTTTTTGTTTTTTTTTTTTTTTAAGAGGCATGTTTTATTTGTTTGTTTTGTTTATACATGCACTGGGTACAGTCAGAAGCGCGGGAGGGTGAGAGAATTCACCAGAGCCAGAGCAGGGAGCAGAGAAGGCAGAAGGACCGAAGTACACTGCTGAGGGGAGCAGCGGGCGGCAGGAGAGGTTTGCGCGCCATGTGGGACCCTCCTCCGGTGGCCAGGGAGCAGCCGGGGATCGAACTGGCACCGCAGAGGCCGCAGGCAGCTTCTCAACCCAGCGCTCAACCACTGCGCCACCAGGGAGCCCCTGAGTAAGTTTCGATTTAAGTGAGAGTAAGGTCTGAGAGCTCAAGCTACCATTGCCACTTATGTCCACACATTTAAATTACTGACCAGTCCTCATGTAATATATGTAAGAAGTGACATTGTATGAATCTAGACATATGAAGTACTTTAGTGGATCGGCTACTCTGACAGCCTGTATACAATGAGAGATGCTGGGCCACTCGAAATTTCCAGTTTTGATTCAATGCTACCAGTATTGCCAGATGCAAAACAATATTAGGATAATGATAGACAAGGTTCAGTTGCAATTCTGCTCCCAAAGACCCTGAAGTTTCTGGAAAGAGGCCCTGCCCCAACAAAAGGTTAGCCCCAACAATAACTCCCTTGCCAAGAGAGGTAGCGAAAAACAGATACCTTGGTGCCAGATCTGGGGACAATATATGGAATTGGTACAGTACCAGAGGACCATCATGCATTCAGAAATAGGCTATATAGCTACTTACACAGAGGCTACTACATTTTCAAAGATTAGCTGGTGTAAAAATGCATTAAAATTAGGAACATAGAGTGAAAATACTAATCCCCATTGGAGTATGCTCAGATTAAGTGACAATGTAGTCATGGAAGACTGTCAGCCAAAGGACTCCATTCAACACTAACAGAAATGGTATGGGTGACTCTTGACAAGTGAACACTAAATTTTTTTTTTTTTAGATTTATTTATTTATTTATACAAGCACTGGGTACAATCAGAAGCACGGGAGGGTGAGAGAATTCACCAGAGCCAGAGCAGGGAGCAGAGAAGGCAGAAGGACCGAAGTACACTGCTGAGGGGAGCAGCGGGCGGCAGGAGAGGTCCGCGCGCCATGTGGGACCCTCCTCCAGTGGCCGGGGAGCAGCCTGGGATCAAACTGGCGCTGCAGAAGCTGCGGGCAGCTTCGCAACCCAGTACTCAACCGCTGCGCCACCGGGGAGGCCCTGAACACTAAATTTTTAAAGCAGTTTCAATTCATTTGACAATCCTAACAGATCGATGAGGCAAACATGGATGTTGTTATCCTTAATCTACAGACAGGGAAAATGAAAATTAAAGAGGTTACATGATTTGCCCAGAATTATGTTATTTTAAAATAGTAGGCCAAGAAATTTTAAGCCAGGTCTGTTCTCCAATCCAATGGTTTCCATAACATATTGTTGTCCTCATGTGTTTATTAAATTAGGTAAGGCAAAACACAGCAAGAGTCAGAAGGGTGTAAAGAGAGGCCCAAAGTGACAATCTAAAAGTATAAAGTTCTTCAATAGTTCCAAATTTCATCTGTACAAGTACTTAGCTCACATAAATCTGGCTAGAAATTTAGCAGGAATTGAGGAAAGAATGGTTACAAAGAGAGTCAATGTAATCTTTGGCAGAATTCCTAGAAAATGAAAATCTCTGAAAGAAATGAGGTATTTAGTCCCAATTGTTAGTCTGTACTGCTATGTATCATAAAATGTAACTTCTGGTAGTGGATTTTAAAGGGATCTGATCCAATCTGCTTATTTCATAGATGAGTAAGGCAAACACAACTGCCCAGGATCTTCAGTAAGTCGAGCATAGGGCCAGAACAAAATCAAGACTCCACTGGGGAGTTTACTTCCCACTAAATAACTGCGCCTTCCTTAGACTACACCTGAAGTATTAGGCTTTATCTGAATAAGAAGAGCACTTACCTACCCCCCTGGCATCATTAGATAAATAGCAAAGCAGATTCCAGAAAGAGTCCAGATTCTAGTGTAGGCAAATGAAAGGCTTACAGAGGGCATTTACCATCAAGAGAGAAGAATGAGATGAAGCATTTCAATTATTTATATAAAAACAGATGACATCTGTAGTTATGTTTCAAATGGTTCCAGTTTCCTAAAACCAACATGGGCTAACTTAAGTAAGAAAGACAATTTATTGGAAATACACAATGTTGCAAAGAACTCAAGGATGATAGAACAAGTAGGCACACTTCGTTTTTTTCATGCCCCAACCTCTGTTTCTCTTACTTCAAAAATTTAGATTCTCTGGAGAACGTGATGACCCCATCCTTGGTGAAAAGCGTTCCAGTCTCATATTCTATTAACTGTAGTTGGAAGGGCAGTTCCCAAAGAGAGAGAATCACCATGCAAAGTGGCTACTGCACTTTGTACAGAGATCTCAAGAGCTGAGTAAGAACCAGGAGTCAGTATATGGACAGCAAGTTTTGGATGATCACTACACAAACATTACAGCCCCTCCAAAACGGTATAAACTACCTTTTAAATATTCAAGTAAGTGCTGGACAGCTCCTAGGAATGTAGAGAGTATGAAGATGACTTCTAAGCAACTTTTGAACAAACAGGTGAAATTATCCTTTTCGAAGTCAGGAGAGCAGTTACGAGGGGCAAGGTGGGAGGCTGCAACTGGAGGGGAGCAGAAGGGGCACTTCTGCTGTTAGCAATGGATGTTTCTTTATCTGAGTGCTGGTTCCTTGAGTATGAGTGGTTTGCAAAAATTAAAGTATACACTTACGACTTTTCTCTGTGTGTTGTAAGTCAATAAAACAGTCAAACAACAATTTTATGAATTAATGACTTCAACCAACTTGAATAAAATGGTAGGTAGGAGATGGATGAGGACAGAATAATACATTTCTTTTTCAAGTACAAGAAAACAAAAGGTTAACTTAAGACAGTGCACATTAAAGAACTAGTCATACCAAATAGCGAGGGGAAATGTTTCAGGAGGAAATGGGACCACAACAATTGTTATAAGATCTACACTGATGCCCCATAAAAGCTGGTCATAAGACGATCAAAACTTTGTAAGGCAACTACCATAAAACAGATTTTCATGCACTATCGCAAATCTTTCCTATTATAAGAGCTATGGAGTGGAACATAGCTGGTTTTAAATTGATCCAATCCAATTCCAGTAGAAATATAGGTTTCTTTCTCACAAAGCATTTAATCTGCTATGACTGGCAACACAACCTAGAGTTGTATTTTGAGTCTTATAACCAAGAAAATACTTGGATGTCATTTTCCAAAATGCTATTAAAAAAAAACAAAACTTTATATAAACAGTAAGTTTTGTTATAACAAGTTACTGCTCTTCATACAATGACATGCATTAAGGAGAGACGTCACAGTGGAAAGGAAGAAAATGCAGAAAGAGGACAGGCTCTGATGGTCAGATTTTGATACAGTTAACTCACTATTTTAAGAAAACAACATTAAAAATTAATCATTTTTGCTCTCATTTACAGAGCCTCAAGGTGACCTCTTAGATAACATTTCTACTTATTTTTCCTAGCTGAAGATGAAATGAATCCTTCTAGATTTAGGAAAATGCTCATCTGCCTCCATATCAGTTTTAGAATCAATGTTAACAATGGACGCTAGGAAGTAATCATTCAGTCTTAAGTGCAAAAGCCTTTCTACCTCCGTTTTTTTTTTTTTTTTTTTTAAGATTTATTTATTTATTTATTTATTTATTTATGCAAGCACTGGGTATAGTCAGAGGTGTGGCAGGAGGGTGAGAGAATTCACCAGAGCCAGAGCAGAGAGTAGAACACGCAGAGTGACGAAGTACACTGCTCAGGGGAGCAGCGGGCGGCAGGAGAGGTCTGCGCACCATGTGGGACCCTCGCCCGGAGGCCGGGGATCGAACTGGCACTGCAGAGGCTGCAGGCAGCTTCGCAACCCAGCGCTCAACCGCTGCGCCACCGGGGAGGCCTCTACCTCCATTCTTATGCTGACAAATGAACCAACATTAACACCAAGGACCACAGGACCAAAGACCACAGTGAATAAGGTTAGGGTTTGATTATTCATAAAAGCTTCAGAGACGTAATACCAAATGAACAGTTCCAACATGGCTCCCTAACAAAAAGATTTGTGCTTTTTGTGTTCATCTTCTTAGGGCCATGGCCAATAAGGCTCAGAGAAGAGGAGGAATACACTGGCATGAAGGTCACAAATTAAAATTCTGGCAAAAGTAAGTGGGTTTAGAAATGCTACAGATGTTGGGAAAGTTTCCATCTCATTGACCAAAAAAATCTCGTGCTGTTGAGCTGTCCAAAGATTAACACCTGGAAATAACATTTAGGTAATGTCACATTTATCACAGCAATACAAGGCAGTTGTAAAAGATGCATTCAACCATTAGTTCAGAAAGCATGCTTTCTAATCTGTGAATAGAAGAAACATGGAAGCTAAGTGAACACACCAGAATTGGGGGAGGGGGGCGGAAGGGAGAAGCAGGGAAAGATATTAACATGCAAGAAAAGAAACACGGTTTATCAAAAAAAAAAAAAAAAGCCACAACACAACCATCAATTACTGAGTGCAAATATCAAACAAAATGCTTCCAATATGAAAAGTGGCATCCAACGCAAATCAGAGCAACCACAGGAACAACTTAAGGACCAAGTTTGAGTCTTTGAAAACTCAGAAAGTTCACAAGGTAGAATATCGAAAGAAAAAAATAAGAACAGGACAACTAAATCCAAACAAAACATCTACGCATGCAAGTCAAATTAGAACAAAAAGATGTGAATCAAAACCTAAAACCTTTTTCCAAGCGATAACCCTGCCAGAAGCCCATCAATACTTCATAACTGCAACCCTAGACCTGTAAGAGAAATAAATTCCAAATGAGATACAGGCAGCCAAAGGGGCAATTTTGAAGCAACCACAAGAAAGCTTGTTCCCCCACCTGCTTCTTAGTTTTTTTAATCTCAATATCTGAAAGATTAGCAAATTTCTTCTAAAAAATTTGCCAAAAATTCTTTTCAGAAAGAGTAGATTCAATGACTCTTGATTCAGACACTAGACCAAAGGTTCCCTTAAAACAATATAGGAGGGAGTTCAAAGAACTCCAACAGAATCTGTCAATATATATTCCATTTATGGACAGTGTTAACCACCACTGAGATTTAGAAATGGATTTGTCACCACCTCCAAGATGATTCCCCCAGGTTTCAAAGCAAAAAATCAGAATAAACCATATCTTCATGCTATAGGGTCATAAGAAAAGTCCTTGAAAGTAATGTTGTAGTGTGTTATTTAAAAAGTAGCCAAATCTGGGCCTCCTTGGTGGCATAGGGGTTAAGTCTTAGTGCTATCAAACTATCACCACTGCAGTCTGAGTTCCATCCCCAGCCAGGGAACTAACCCACCTATGGCACAGCAGACCTCTCCTGTCTCACCCTCTGCTCCTCTTAGCACTGTATTTCATTAGATATGCCTGTATTGGTCCCCACTCTGTCTCTGGTGAATCTTCTCACCCCCCGCACCTCTGCCCGACACCCAAGTTCTTGCATGCATAAATAAAAAATAAATAAAGATAAATCTTAAAAAAAAAAAAAAAGGAGCCAAAGTCACTTGTCTTAGTCCAACAAAGAACAACGTGTCTATAGGGTAAAATGAGAAGCTAGATGAAAGATCTAACAGGTTCAAAGAGTGTAATGGAGGCCATTTGTGTCTATATGTATATATGTCAGAGGTGGGGCAGGACTTAAATTCTAATTTGCTAGGTTTTAATAGAAATACAATGATAATTTTAAATCCAGAAACCAAAAATGTTGGTTAAAAAAAAAAGAGGCTAAAGGTTGCATGATGGAAGGAAAGAGCTGAAGAGTAGGATGACTCACTCTACATGCTATTTACTACCAAATATATTCAAGATAAAGTAAAAGGCAAGAAAGTGTGAACCACAGGGTAGAAGTATAATACTTAAAGAAGGGCAGCAACTTGGTCCAGTTAATAGAGAGCTAGACCAGATGATACTTCTCAGCAGAGTTAAAAGATTAGATAAATATCAAAGGTTATTACCTACTTCCGTCTATTTAGTTAGGAATACATGGATAATGATAATTTGAATTTTGAAATATAACTCAAAAGAAATTTGATGAATTGATAATGTGTTCCTGGTACAATTAAGGACAATTTACCTATATTAATCTGTCAATAGGCAGGGTAAGTTTTATAGGAGGGAGTCTGAAATAAAAAATACTATAATTTCTAGAAAGATGCTGACATGGGGCTTTAAAAGGAGAATGTCTTTTATAATGTCTTCTAAAGAGAAAATGGAGAAATAAACTAATGGAGAACACATGCTGAAGTAAAGGAAGAAATCAGGAGTTCTGTCTTCCTCTTCTGACTTGAAGGTAATAGGATTGAAGGAAACAGGAAAACAGAAGAGAATGTAATAAGGAAAAGTTTTTGATTAAGGGAGAAAAAAGGAGCTCAAAGAAGACCAAAGAATGAAAATTCTTTCCTACCAGAATAGGGTAAATAAACATTTTAAAAAAGAAAAGAAATAAGGAAGCAGCTATGTAGGCATACCTATGGCCCAAATAAAAATAGAGGCGATACTAGTTCTGATAAAGAGAACTGATACTTTTGGGGAGATGCATTCTAAATGATAACTCTATATCCGTAAAGTTCCAATTATTTAACTGAAAAAAGCAGATCTCATTAGGAAAAGGCACCCTCTATATGTGTATTTTGCCTCCACTCCACTCAAAGGTTCGCCTTAAAATAGGAGACAGAAGAAATGCTAGTGAACTTTTACTTCTGCACAAACCAAAGAAAAAAATCAGATTTAAGAGCAAGGTGATAGAGGAATTGTGTTATTTGGAGAAATAAGGACATCACAACTCTTGTGGCACAGAAGAAAGTTATTTGCCATATGGAATACAGTTTTCCAAAGTCTAAATTTTTGTTTTTTGTGTGTGTATTTTAAATGTTCCTCAGGAATACCTGAGAAGGTTGAACCAATTATTAGGAATATAGCTCAAAGCAAGAATCAGCAAATTTTTTCTGCAAAGAATTAAACAGTAAATATCTTAGGCTTTGTGGACCATAAGGCACCTGTTGAAATTCCTCAACTATGCCACGAAAGTGCAAAAACAGATGTCAACAATATGTAAATAAACCAGCACGGCTCTTTTGCAATAAAACTTTACTTACAGACATAAAAATTTGAATTTCATATAATTTTCATGTGTTATAAAGCATCATTTTTCCTTTCGCCTTTCTTCTCCAACCATTTAAAAATGTAAAAACTATCCTCTGCTCTTAGCAGCAGGCCATATTTGGCTCAATAGCTATAGTTTGCTGACCCCTACCTGAAAAGAATGGCAGATTCATAAAATTTTCTTAGTGTTAGGGGGAAAAGGATGTCCTAAAGCTAATTCCATACAGGCTTTGTGGACTCCACCCCCACCGCAGGCCAAAGCCAAAGACACTGGGAACTCCAAATCCCATCACCACCAAAGGGAAGGTGGCTGGGCCCTGAGGGTGGGGTTAAGCAGCCAGGTTGGTATAAAGCCAGACACATGGGCTTTGGAGGGGTTCCCCCATTTTGGCTCTCCACCAGCTCGCAGCGGTCCGGCCAGCTCGGAGAGTGCCTTTGGGTTTCCAGGTCGGCGGATCGGGTAGGACGCATTAAAGACTTTTTTCCCTATTTTCTCCCTGAGTTGTACATTTTCCTTATTTCCTTTTCCCTTGTAAATAAACCTTTTATTAACCTTTTGTGTGTGCCTGTAGTGGAGTATTCATAAGTCCCTTGTAAGCGCGCGGGTGAAGACCCACAGCCAGGAACCCGTTCAATATCGGGGCTGCCCTATAACATTAGTACTACACACTAATTTGATGTCTGTGGGCATTTTTCCCCCCCTAAGAAACAGGACTCCCTGAGTCACATGAATATTACTAGAAATACCCTCTGTGGGAACAGACCAAAATAACCTGTTTTGACAAAGTTTTAACAGAAGACAAGAAGAGAGGTACTCTAGGAAACAGGCAGGAGAGGAATGATGTAAGATGTGTATTTCCCAACTATTTCCTACCAAACGGATTTCAAGACAAAGTAGAAGGCAAAAAAGTATGAAAGACAGGGGGGAAAGTCCAATACTCATAAGAGAAAAATCTGTCAAGCTACCTAGATGTTTGCTAAAAATAAAAGAGAAAATTATCTGTTCTGGTTCCCACTATGTATGGTTCAGATGTTCTTGACAGACAATATGCGACACCTTCTGAAGTTCATATTCTGAAGTTCAAAAAGTATTTCTTAAGCCAAAGGAAGCTCAGAAATAACTCCCACCACTCATGCCAGCCATGTCATGAGACCTACAACTTTCTTCTCACTTATTTTCTGGTTAAAATGAAAGAATGTCCTACCTTGCATGTTCCTGAACTCCCACAATCTCCACTTCACTGTCTGAAGAGGCAATATTGATTTCTTCATTAAGTGGTGCATTGCCAGCAGATGTTTTGTCACTTGCTAGGAATCCTGGATCCAAATGACCTACGAGAGAGTAAGAAAAAAATAAATAAACATTGTAGTTTGACTTCTTAAAGTAGCAGGAACAAATCACTGGCAAATTTCTCATCCAGGTTTAATCAACAGAATGGCCCTCTGAGCTCGCCACAAGGAGACTGTTAACTCAGTGTTGTGTGTTTTAAAAAGTTTTTAAATTTAAACAAAATACAAGCTCATGTTTAAAAGAATATTCAGACATGAAAATAAGACTCACAAGTCTTAATCTCTATTCCTATTCCTCAGAAGAAAAAACTTGGGAGCACTTTGGTAAATATGTATATTTAAATAATAGGTATACATAAACTATGATAATACTCTGTATTTTATTCTGTAATGCTTTTTTTAAAAAGATTTATTTGTTTGTTTGTTTATACAAGCACTGGGCACAGTCAGAAGCGCGGGGTGGGGGGGGGGTGAGAGAATTCACCAGAGCCAGAGTGGGGAGCAGAACAGGCAGAAGGACTGAAGTACACTGCTGAGGGGAGCAGCGGTCAGCAGGACGTGTCTGCGCGCCACGTGGGACCCTCACCCGGCATTCGGGGATCCAACCAGCACTGCAGAGGCTGCAGGCAACTTCGCAACCCAGCGCTCAACCGCTGCGCCACCGGGGAGGCCCAACAATAGTCTTTTCAAAGCATTTATTACCTGGCATGACCAACACATTTTCCAACACCACAGAAAACCTGAGCTCCACAGAACTCTCTCCCGCTCAATAAAGGCTAAGGGCACGGCATGGAAATGCACAGCCGAATAAACAGTTCTAACAAGAGTGAAAATGATTCAGTCTATGTGCCCACTTCTTGAATATTCTTAAAAGGACCAACTTTAGAATAGCTAGAAGTTAACATGGAATAAACAAAGTTATAAAAGGTATAAATTTTCATTTACTCTTAACGTAATGTTTTTATTTAAACATTATTATCTGTTACAAAATTAGTTCTCCATATTAAAAAAAATCCTTTGTAAATTAAATTATAAATTAAACCAATATACATGAGATTCCACACATACAACTCTCTTTCCCCTTTCATGACTTCACTCACTCATTCCAACAGTGCAGTTGTCACTGAGAAACCTTTCATACTCCTGCCAACTCTTAGTGTAAACTTTTTGGAAAGTTATAGACAGTCACAAAGCAAAAACCTTCTAACTTCTATATCCTATAATTCCATCCCTGGAAATTCAGCCTAAGGGGAAAGTAATTTAAATAAGTAAAATGTTACAATGTCCAAAGACAGTCACTTACTTATGAAGAAACTTGGAAAAATATATGCATAGCATACAAAGTGTCATATATAACACTATAAAACTCTGTATTGGGTAAACTGAAAAGTAATCAAGTTTGAATATGATTGTGGGTCTTCTAAACACCTTTTTGATATTACTTTTATTTCAATTAAAAGTGATAAGTATGGGGCCTCCCCGGTGGCGCAGCGGTTGAGCGCTGGGTTGCGAAGCTGCCCGCGGCCTCTGCGGCGCCGGTTCGATCCCTGGCTGCTCCCCGGCCACCAGAGGAGGGTCCCACATGGCGCGCAGACCTCTCCTGCCGCCCGCTGCTCCCCTCAGCAGTGTCCTTCGGTCCTTCTGCCTGCTCTGCTCCCCGCTCTGGCTCTGGTGAGTTCTCTCACCCTCCCGCGCTTCTGACTGTACCCAGTGCATGTATAAACAAAAACGAAAGAGAGAGAGAGAGAGAGAGAGAGAAAGGAGAGAGGAGAGAGAGAGGAGAGGAGAGAGAGAGAGAGAGAGAAAGAAAAAGAGAGAGAGAGAGAAAAGAAGAGAGAGAGGAGAGAGAAAGAAAGAAAGAAAGAAGAAAAAAGAAAGAAAGAAAGAAAGAAAGAAAGAAAGAAAGAAAGAAAGAAAGAAAGAAAGAAAGAAAGAAAGAAAGAAAGAAAGAAAGAAAGAAAGAAAGAAACAAAGAAACAAAGAAAGAAACAAAGAAAGAAAGAAAGAAAGAAACAAAGAAAGAAAGAAAGAAAGAAAGAAAACATGCCTCTATATAAAAAAAAAAATAAATAAAAAATAAAATAAAAAGTGATATGTATGAAGGGCCTCACTGGTGGTACAGGGGTTGAAGTCTCAGCTATCAAGCTATCCCCAGCCACTACAGCACAAGTTCAAATTCCAGCTAGGGAGCTGACACGCATGGTGCAGCAGACCTCTCCTGTCTTGCCCACTGCTCCCCTCTGCAGTATCTCAGTGGATCCACCTGTCCTGCTCCCCACTCTGTCTCTGGTGAATCTTCTTCTCCGGTTTTTGTATGCCTACACCCCAGTTCTTGTATGCATAAATAACTAAAAATAAAATCTTTTTTTGAAAAAGGATATGTATGAGAAAACAGATTTTACAAAATATTTTTACTGGTGGTTGAGATTCTGTTATAGTCTCCAAGGGTTTGTGAAATCTTTTAATTAAAGAATAATCTTAATAGACTTCTATGCAGTGCTGGCAATGAGCACATGTCTCTGAACTCTATAAATATATAAAAGGTGGCATTTACCACACAAGACCCAGTTTTGTTAAATCTGAAGTAGCTACTTAAATTAGGAGTTTGGTAGGTCTAGATTTGGTAAATCTGATCCGTGCTCTGACCACAATAGCTTGCTTGAAGTCAGTTTTTTATCCAATTTCCACTTCAATGTTATAGTTTTAACTACCATCACACACACTGTTCTTATTGTACCACCAGAGAGAAATACAAATTGATAATCTCTTTTTCAAAACCTTCAACTTGCCCTAAAATCAATTATTTCTAGCAACCTTGCTCTGTGTGGCTATAATAGTTTACTTCATTTACTTGATCCTACAATAAATACTTGTTTGTGACATGCTATAAACTGTGTTAGGTGCTAGGAATACAAGGCATAGTATTCATTCTCAACAAGCCTACAATATATAGAGGGATAAAAAAAAGCAGGCTATTTAAACTGCAGCTAGAAAACTGCTCTGACAAGAAGGTAAAGAGAGCTCTGGAAGCACAAAGAAAGCACACATTTGCCAGACTTGAGGATAATCAAGAAAGGCAAACTCTCAGTCATGAGTAGGAGCAAGTGAAGGGAAGCAGCATAAGGAACAGTGGGTTGCCCTTTACAGTATACAGTTTGATGAGATTTAGGGTAAGGATAATAAAAAGAAGAATGAGAAATGAGGCTGGCAAAGTCAGCAGAGGTCAGATAATGCAATGAGTTTGAACCTGACTTAGCTCTGAAGCCACTAAGGACTTAAAAGCAGAGGAGTGACATGAACTGATTTCCCATTTAAAAGAATTCCCTTTTGGAATGTAGACACAAAACGAATAGTAGAGCAGGGAATACTAGAGGCAAGGAAATGGGTTAGACTGCTATAGCTTCCTGGGTAAGAAATAACTACTGCTGAACTAGGAAAGAAACAAAATAGGAACTACTCTGTGCATGTTATGTACAGAGGGTTAGTAATGTTGGAGATAGGCAAATGAGAGAACACAGAAGACTAAAAATGATAGCTAGTTTTTTTTTTAAAGGGTAAAATTTAATCTTTATTTATAGGGCACTGCAAGATATAAAATTTCACACAGAAGAAATCCATTGAGAAAAGAGGCTTCACATAGTATGTACAGCTTGGAACTGTTTAGTATTGTTTTGTTATAAAACATGCCACAGTCACAAATCACATTTGAAAAGTTCTTAGTAGACAAACTTAAACCAAACACAATACACAGCAAACAACTTTACGCCTCAGCTGAATAATCCAAAAGCTAAAGGTCCCAGAACTACATTCCTGACCTTGAAATGTATTCAGCAGTAGTTTCTGAAACAACATTTTGATCTTCCTCTTCCTCTACAGAGCAATACTTCTCAATCAAGTTTAATGAAACTTTGTACACAGATTCATTTTCTTTTCCTTTTAAAGATTTATTTTTATTTATTTATGCATACAAGAGCTCAGGTGTAGGCCACAGGTGTGGGGGTAGAGAAGGGGTGAGAGAATTCACCAGAGACAGAGTGGGAAGCAGAAACAGATCTACCAAGATACACTGCTGGGGAGCAGCAGGCAAGACAGCAGAGCTCTGCTGTGCCATGTGTATTAGCTCCCTGGCTGGGGATTGAACTCATGCTGCAGTGGCTGCTGATAGTTTCATGGTGCTAAGACTCAACCACTTGTTGCCACCAGGGAGGCCCTGTACACAGATTCATTTTCATGGTTTTGTAGAGCGTCACTTCTGCCCAAACCGCCACATTATTTAAACCTTTGCACTCCGCTGTCCCCTCTCAGGGGACATCGGAATTCTAGCATATCACTCGGATGTCCCCTCTCAGGGGACATTGCAATTTATTAGTGATTACGGGGAATTGAGGTTATTTCAACGCAACTTTTTGAGACATGCATGTTTCCCTGAAGTTTTATATTGAAATGGCACAAGAAATTAAATCAAAATATCGTAAAATGGTTCGGAGTGCAAAGGGTTAATCATTATACTAAGTTTCTCAGTTTCACCTAGTTTCTCAGCAGCCTGGAAGAGATTTGAAATGCCATCTAGAATAAACAGAGTAATTTTGTAACTTTTGCAGTTAAGAGGTTCCTCAACAATTCTATTATGCTACAGTGAACAAGGTATACAATCTGTTCAATTGTTCCTCCACTTGAATAGTTGGTAGCAGCCCATACAGCTTCCTTTTGTGTCTTTAAGGCTTCCTTAGAGAGAACACCAACAAGAAATGGGACTAATCTATGATTCACAAGTTGCTATATCTGGTCCTGATAACCAGCTGTGATCTTTGACACTATCCATGTAGCTTCCTTCTGAATATTAGTTTTGGAGTTGGTTAGCAGGCTGGGAAAGAATAACAAGTGCTCTTATATCCATTACAACCTGAGTCTGTTCATCTGTCCCAGTGACAATTATTTCCTACGGCTCTAGTACAGGAGTCACAATTGGCAAAAAGTTTCACAAGTTGGAGTACATCTGTTCATTTGGACCATCTATAAGGCAGAATATGGCCCAGCAGGTT